CTTCATCTGCACATTTGTGATCAGCAGCAGCAATCAGTGATCACAGAGTAGACCTGCTATTTGGAGGTAAGGTCCTTTGTTGCCTACTTTGGCTCCAGAAACACATGTGCCTATGAGACTGTGGGGGCCGGGGGCAGTAGGTACCTGCTACTTTGCTAAGAGTTATATTGACTGAAATTAACCACAATTTTATATCCAAGGCTTCCTCCTGTGTGTTATAGCTTTCAATAGACTCCAGAGTTCCAAAGCGGTTTCTTCATACAGATTTTGCTAGTGCAATTGTCTACGTGGAGAGATAGATTCCTGGTACTTCCTACTCTAACATCTTCCTACCAATGAATGGTATTTAGCATCATAAGACCTGTTCTTTTAAGATGAAAACCTCCTTTTTGATCTCATATAAGTATCTTGGATATGTGCAACCACCAGCATAGTCAATGAGAACATTTTCATCACCCTCAAAAAGAAACCTTGTACCATATTTTTTAAAATTTATTTATTTATTTTTAGAGAGACAGAGCAGGGGTAGGGGTAGAGGGTGAGGGAGAGAGAGAATCTCAAGCAGACTCCCCATTGAGCACAGAGCCTGACACGTGGTTTGATCCCACAACCCTGAGATCATGACCTGAACTGAAATCAAGGGTCAGATGCTTAACCAATTGAGCCACTCAGGAACCTCAGAACCCTTGTACCCTTTAACTATCAACTCACTATCCCTCCATGCACCCAACCCTAAGCAATCACTAATCTACTTTCCATTTCTGTGGAATTACCTAACCTGGACATTTCATATAAGTGGAACCATATAACGTATGGTCTTTGGGGACTGGCTTCATTCTCTTAGCATGATGTTTTCAAGGTTCATCCATGTTGTAGTATTTTCAATACTTTACTCCTTTTATTTTATTTATTTTTTAAAAGGTTTTATTTATTTATTTGAGAGAGAACACAAGTAGAGGGGAGTGGCCGAGGGCGGGGGAGAAGCAGACACGTGCTGAACAGGGAGCTGAAGGCAGACACTTAACCGACTGAGCAATCCAGGTGCCCAGTACTTGATTTAATTCCTTTTAATGGCTGAATAACATTCCATGTTAGGGGTTTATTCGTTTTTCGGTTGCTGAACATTTGGATCGTTTCTACCTTTTGGCTATTATGAATAATACTGCTGTGAATATTCATATACAAGTTTTGCTTTTGGACATGTTTTCATTTCTCTTGTGTATGTATCTAGGAGTGGAATTACTGAATCATGTGGTAACTCTATGTTTAAATATTTGAAAAATGGTCAGACTGTCTTCCACAGTGACTGCAGCATTTTACATTCCTATCAGCAGTGGATGAGGGCTCCAATTTTCCACATCCTCAGCAACATTTCTTATCTGCCTTTTATTCTTGTGGGAGTAAAGTTGTATCACACTGTGGTTGTGACTTGCCTTTTCATGATGACTAATGATGTTGAGAATTTTTTTGCATGTGCCTGTTGGCTTTTTATACATCTTCCTTGGAGAAATATTTACTCAGATCCTTTGCCTATCTTTTAATTGGGCCATTTTTCTTTTTATCGTTTGACTATAAGAGGTTTTCATAGATTCTTGATGCAAGTCTTTATCAGATATATGACTTGCAAATAGTTTCTCCCATCCTGTGGGCTGTCTTTTCACCTTCTTGATATTGTTCTTTGAAACGCAAAAGTTCTTAATAAAAAAAAAAGTTCTTAATTTTGACTAAGCCTAACTTATCCAAGTTACTATTTTATTTTTTGTTCATGGTTTTGGTGTCATATCTACTAACATTGCCAAATATGAGGTGAGGAAGAATCACCTCTGTGTTTTCTTATGTGAATTTTTATAGTCTCAGCTTTATATTGTGGTCTGATCCATTTTGAGTGAATTCTTGTGTATGGTGTGAAGAGTCCAAATTTATTCTTGTGCATATGAGTATAGAGTTGTTCTAGCACTATTTGTTGAAAAGACTGTTCTTTCCCCATCAGATGGTCCTGGCACCTTCACTGAAAATAATTGGCACAGACACATGGGTTTATTTCTGGACTCTCGACTGTATTCCATTGATCTAACCTGCCTTTACACTGGTCCCACATTGTCTGGATCACCATTGCTTTACAGAAAGGTTTGGAATCAGGACACATGATTCCTACTTTGTTCTTCTTTTTAGAACTGTTGTGACAGTTTGCTGTCCCTTGCAGTTCCAAAGAATCTTCATATCTACTTGTCAACTTCTACAAAGAAGTCAGCTGGGATTCTGGTAGGGATTACACTGAATCTGAGATTGGTTTGAGAAGTGCTGCCATCTTAACAATATGAAGTCTTCTGATTTATGAACATGGGTTTTTTTGCATTTATTTAGATATTCTTTAATTTCTTTCAACAATATTTTGTAGTTTTCAAAATGAGGTTTGCACTTCTTTTACTAAATTTATTCCCAAGTATTTTGTTCTTTTTGATGCTTTTGTGAATGGAATACTTCTCTTAATTTCATTTTCAAACTGTTAATTGCAAGTATATAAAAATATAATGGACTTTCTATTAATCTTCTATCTTGCTACCTTGTTGAACTTGTCTGTTAGTTCTAATACTTTTTTTTTAGTCATTTCCTTGGGATTTTCTGTATGCAAGATCATATCATCTGTGAATAGAGACAGATTTATGCTTTCCTCCCCAACGTGGATGTCTTTTATTTCATGTCCAATGAAGTTTGGAGCTTGCCCACACTCTGCTGCAAAAGCAGTCAGTTACTTTGAGGGGACATCAGGAGCCATTGGTTTTATGGCATGTTTATCTCCCAGGCAAAATCTCAGAGCTCTGAAGCTCAGAGTGGGGGGGATGCCAAGCATCCCCATACGTGACACCCCATTCCCTTCCACTGTGTACGGGAGGACACGTAGACCTTCATGGCTTCAAATCACTACACTAATTGAACTAGACCAAGGGGATCAGGCCCCAGGATTCTCAGCAACACCGCACTTGAGATAGAGCCTCCATTCTCGAGTGGGAGCTGAGCAGAAAGGAGCCCCCATCTCTGGGCCATACTCATCTGAGACTTGGTCTCAGTAGTAGGCAGCTGGGGACAGGATGATAAATGCTGAAGTCCTGCCTTTTCCAGGAAGAAAGCTCTCCAGCTGGGAGTAAGTGAGAGAAGGAGTCTGTGTTCTTGGCTGTGGCAGTCTGGAACAGTCTCTGCTTTGCTGAGCTGGGAGGGAGGGGAGAAAGAGTGGGTCCCAGTTCAAGTGCTATGAAACCTATCTGTTCTTGCCACATTTTAGCAGCTTTTCTTGGAAAAATGTTTCTTTATATGGTATATGCCCTTAGGACCATTTCCATAAACTTAAATTGGTTGTTTTAAAAATAATTTTTATCCGTTTTGCTGGGGAGTGGGTCCAGGGACCTCATTATGCTGTCATGCTTGGAAGACCTTCTCTGTGTGACTCATATTTGAGATTCTTCATTTATCATTGAATTTTCAGTCTTGGGCAGAGATAATAGTTTTTGGTTTTTTAAAAAACGTGAATACTCCTAGCAGCCTTATTTGTAATACCCAAAGACTAGAAACAGTCCAAATGCTCACCTATAGGTGAGTGGATAAAAAACTGTGAGGGCAACTCAGCACAAAAAGGAATGGTCTGTCGACTCGCTCAGCCACGACACTGCGTGGGGTGAAAGGCAGGAAAATGCAGACACTGCAGGGAGAGACTCACACAAAACTCAGAAAAATGCAAGCTTGTCCCTAGGGACACAAAGCAGATTGTGGATGCATGTGGATGGGAAAGAGGAAGGGTTGGGTGATTATTGATGGGAACAGGAGACCTTGGGGGGCAATGGATGTAGCTATTATCTTGGTTGTGGAGATAGTCTCCCGGGGTAAAGTGTGTCAGACTTGTCAAATGGAACAGCGCAAATACACAGTTTGCCATATGCCGACTACAATCTCAATAAAGCCCTTAAAAATAACAGGAAGAGTGAAAGCCCAATTGCTGGTTATGTAGTAGCTCTTATAGTTGTTGAGTAGTTAGGTAGCTAGGTAATTTTATACTAATTGAACCAACTGGTTTGCAGTGCTCTGGGCGGCTTCCGTTCCACACCATTTATTAATTTGATAAGTGTCTTTTATTAACTACAGGACAGAGAAATGAAATGGTCAGTTATCAGGCTCAAACTGATGCATTCTTTTTTTTTTTTTAAGATTTTATTTATTTAGTTGACAGACAGAGATCACAAGTAGGCAGAGAGGCAGGCAGAGAGGGGGGAAGCAGGCTCCCCGCTGAACAGAGAGCCCAGTGCGTGGCTTGATCCCAGGACCCTGAGATCATGACCTGAGCCGAAGGCAGAGGCTTAACCCACTGAGCCACCCAGGCGCCCCCTGATGCATTCTTTTTTTTTTTTAAACATTACCTATGCTTATGTATTTTTTAAGACGTATTTTATTTTATTTATTTTTTTGAGAGAGAGAGAATGAGAGGAGAGAGGTCAGCGAGAGAAGCAGACTCCCTGCTGAGCAGGGAGCCTGATGCGGGACTCGATCCCAGGACTCCAGGATCATGACCTGAGCCGAAGGCAGTTGCTTAACCCATTGAGCCACACAGGTGCCCCCCCACCCCGCGCCCCCGCTGATGCATTCTTGACAAAACTCATTGACTTCCATTCTTGCTGGGGTTCCAATAAACTGATCACAAGGAGACACATATTTTCTACTATCACCTTGTGATTAGCTCAGTGCCCTCTGCTTCAACACAGGAGTGATGCTGAAGTCATCCCGAGTCTGAACATGCAAAGCGACCACACTCTGTTCTCGGCATATGGCCCAGAGTTGAACAAAGAGAAGTGCGCAGGAAAGGCACAAGGGGGTCTTTGCTTTAAAATCCAAGCGGGTGAAGGAGGTGGCATGTCGCTTGCAGGGCCTGTTAAGACGGTTTCCTGGTGTGGGAGGAGCTGGTTGGCTTCGCAGGCCCCCTCTGGCCCCTCACATCCCTTTTGTGTTTCCGGAAGTCTGTCTGTCTGTCTGGCCCCTTGTTCAAGCTCGGGCACTTCCTGTGCCCTCTGACTGGCTGGCGCCTCCCCGGGATCACTTCTGCTCCCTCTTTTCCCTCCTTCTTCCCCCATTTCCTGAGTGTGACATATCAGGCAGGCGAGGAGGAGGAGGGGGAAGCCACCCGATGGTGTGGGGTGACCTGCAGGCTGGCTGGGACTTGCATTTTTCAAAGAGAATCCGGGCAGCAGGTGGGGGGCTCTCCCTGCGGGATCCTGTCCTGGATTGAGTTGCATGGAAATGAACTGTTAGTTTAGGCTACTTCGTTGCAGTGATTTTATACTCCAGCTAGTATCTGTCTTTAAAGCAGAAAGTGATTCCAAATCTAATGTAAACTAACCCAGGAAAATGGAGGTTAACCCATTCCTCCAGGTTTTTAATGGCAGGGGTTGGACATGGAGGCACTCCTGACACCCAGACCCACTCCCTGTCCCCCTACCCCCACCCTCCCACCTCCCCGTGAAACCTCCGTGGAACCACTGCTGGAGAACCCAGCGTCCAGGAGGCCAGCCCAGCTGGAATGCAGGGTCCGCCCCTCCTGTGGAGCCCTCCTCTGTGACACACTTCCTGGTGCTTGAGGGTCAACTAAATTTTAATTTCTTGTGAAATCTGGAAACCACTGTGAGCTCCTCGGAGACAGGCGCGGGCTAAAGTATGAACAGTTCTGAAAACCCGCCCGCCTGAAGTCATCCCTCACAGGCACTGCGGGACGGAAAGGACAGTGACGAAACCAGGGAGTCAACTCTGGGGATTTGTAGGGTGCAGGGGACAGGGGCTGTTTGCTTTAGGGAAGAGGGGCTCTTGGGGTTCATAAGTGTCTCTAAATATTTGTAGGCAGATTTTAAAGACTGTGGAGGCCTGCTGTCCTGCACCTCCACAGAGAGCCCCACTTTCGGTAAAAACAATGTTGTTGGTCGAGAGTAGCACCAGCACCAGGCTCCCCTGTAACAAACAGGAGCGGTCACCATGCCACGCTGGACACAAAGTCACATGACCTTCCATGCATTTTCCAGACGGACATCGGGCCGTTTTTGCACATGGAAGTGCAGGAGCCCAGCCTGAGCACAGGCCCTGGGGCAGGAATCTGCTTCCTACAACCTCCTGGGGGCCATCTTGGCCATGTTCCTCGCTGCCTGCTGCCTCCGTTTCCCCATGGCCCCTTCCTCATGGGATGCTTATGAGGGTTAGGCAGGAAGACGGTGCAGCAGGCTTGGGACAGCACAGAGGGACACTGAGAGCTGCCGTTGGTGTCTTTGTTCTGTTGTGGGCACAGAATTAGCCTGAGCCCCAGAAAATACTTTGATTAAGGCAGGACAGAGGAAAAGGCACAGGGCTCCCTGCAGGGTGGGCGGCAAGAAAACGTTCCAGCTCTGGGGCAGCTCCTCTGTGTGGGCCCTGGAGGGGCGCGCTCTGGGCTCTGCCCGGGTTGGTGCTGACTGTAGGGTGTGGGGGCCCCTGTACCTCTTGTGCGTGTGGTTGTTTCCGCTCTCAGTCTGTCCCCCAGTCCTCATGACGCAAGACAGCTTCTCCAGCAGCAGGCGGTTGTCCCTGTCGATGACGGCAAGCCGCTCCTCCTCCAGCTGGGGACAGACACACAGGGAGCCTCTGGAAGCACCAGCCACATCCGGGCCATGACTGCACAGACTTATTTAGAGGGTCACTTCAACCCCACACTTCCTTCGGCTTAAGCACACTGCGGCTTTTAAGGTGCTGGCAAGCATCAGCACCCCGTGTGCCACGGGTGGGCTCCTTTGTCTATGAATCGGAATACATTAGGGCGCGGCCACATCCCCTGCGCTCAGAGTGGGGGTAAGAGCGAGGGTGCCACGGGTCTTTGTGAAATTAGGTCACCCTCCAAAACTCCGAGATGGGGATGCTAATGAGGAAATCACTTCAGGTTTCAAGAGAGCAATTTTAGAAGACGAGATCGGAGCCCAGAGGAAACGGACACCCTCGTGGTTTGGGGCCGAACACTGACGGATCTGCCAGCTCTCTGGCCTGGGCCCAGTCCGTGCCCGTCCGCCCCCTTCGGACCTTGTCACTGGCAGCCACGTGGAGGCCCCACGGCATCCCTGTCAGCACAGCCATGAGAGTCTTATTCTCACTCGGTGGTTTATGCTTCCAGAAATAGTCTGTGGTGGGCAAGAAGTGGTCTTGTTTATTTTTTTTTTTTTTTAAATAAATGGTCCTGTTTAAAGGAAGGGTACTGACTGACCTCCTTAAAGCCACCGCCATCCACTCCCGCCCCTCGCCGCCCTCGCTTCCTGGAGACAAAGGGTCGGCGGGAAGACCAGAGAGGACTCCCGGCGTCCCCGCCGCCCCATAGCTCCATCCCGGCACCATGAGGTTAACTGGCCGCGGATGCGGCTGGTCTCGTTGATGACAGGAACCACGTATCCCTGACTGAGCCTGCATTTTCCACGTCCCTAGTTTCTGAGTTGACATTTCCTCACGAGCTGCACCAGCACCTGAGAGGTAGCAGAGAAATTACCTTCAGCTTCTTGAGTTTCAGGCGGAGGTGGCCAAGGCTCCAGGGGGCGCGGGCGTCCACGAGGGGCTGGGCATCCTGGACCTGCGGTGCAGGGCAACATGTGACCCTGGGCACACGTTAGCTGGTGATTACCATGAACCCAGATTGGGCAGCTCCTGGGCTGTGGCCCTGGGGACAAGTATCGGTGATTGTTTGTGGCACCAAAGATTCCAGGTCAGCCTGGGGCAGATGGTCCTGAATGAGGCTCAGGACTTAAGTCAAAACCCAGTTATTCCGTGGGGGAAACGGGCAGCCCTGGGGGATGAGCCTACACCGTGGTTTTCAAGTAGAGAATTAAGTAGGTACAGAGTAAGAAGTCATCAAACGTAAGTGCCAGCCAACATTTCTGTTCTGTTGCCGGAGGCCTTTTTTTTTTTTTTTTTTAAGATTTCACTCATTTACTTGACAGAGATCACAAGTAGGCAGAGGGGCAGGCAGAGAGAGAGGGAAGCAGGCTCCCCGCTGAGCAGAGAGCCCGACTTGGGGCTCGATCCCAGGACGCTGAGATCATGACCCGAGCTGAAGGCAGAGGCTCAACCCACGGAGCCACCCAGGCGCCCCTGCCAGAGGCCTTTAAGGCAGTGAGTTATGAGGCTGTGTCCACCGCCCCCTGATCTCTGGGCCTCCAGCAGAATGTTCAGGATGAGCCCCTGAAACACTGATGAACTTCCAAGTGACCTCTGCAGCTTCCCGTCAGAAAACGTGCCAGCGAGGGGAGAAAACCTAGCTTCCAGAACATGATGGAGTGAGTGCATCAGGGCTACCTGCATTACCATCTGCAACAAAAAGGGACCCCCCCCCCATATTCCAGACCCTGCTCGACCCCTAGCCAGACCACTAGCTCCCAGACGTATTAGCTGATGACCCGCAAGCGACTGTGTTGGGAAAGGCCAGCAGCCGGGTGACTCTGGAACGATGACGTGAGCATCATTCGCTCCTGGAGTGAAAGCCAGCGGGCCGGGCAGCGGGAGCCAGGACAGCACAGAGGGGCTAGCTGGCAAGAGGCTTGGACAGCACACTCAGGGATGGATGCGTGGCCCCTGACGGGAGGGGCAGACTAAGGAGCAGAAACAAGGCAGGAACACGGCTACATACATGACCTGGGGGCCCTCTGTCACCAGCTGTGGAAGCAGCCAGGACCAGAGGCGGGCTAGCCAGGGCTGTGGGGTGGTGAGCAGAGGTATGCCGGGGATGGTGGGATTAAAAACACACCCGGTACCTTACTTTTTCATGTTACCTTTAAAATCAAATCTCCCGGGCGCCTGGGTGGTTCAGTGGGTTAACGCCTCTGCCTTCAGCTCAGGATCCTGGAGTCCTGGGATCGAGTCCTGCGTCGGGCTCCCTGCTCAGCGGGGAGTCTGCTTCTCCCTCTGATCACCTCCCCAAGCTATCCCTTTCCCTCTCTCATTCTCTCTCTCAAATAAATAAATAAAATCTTGGAAAAAAAACCCTAAAACTGAAATAAATTGAATTAAGGGGCTGAGGATAAAAGCAAGAAACCTCCCCAAAGTGAGCCAGAAGTAGAGAGACGGCCAGGAGGAGAGAAAATGAAAGGACGCTAGAGACTCAGTATTGGGTTAGGGACATTGGACTAGGAGGGTTTCTAGAAAATGGAAGGGGACAGAATTTTCAGAGTCTCTAAAATGAAAGAATCTATCAGAATAAACTCGAAGAGACTCATGGAAGCATGTCATCATAAGATGTCAGAACAACAGTAGTAAAGAGGAGGTCCTTCCTAAAAGTTTCTGGGAAGAAACACCCACACACCCATGCCCATGGTCACACAGAAGTCACAGGAGTCTTTAGAGAAGGTGTTGGCTGAAGCAGAGGGCTGACCATCCGTTAACTCACGCTCACCCTACCACAGTCTTGAGCTGTCACTCCTGTCCAGACAGGACCATGCTTCCTAGGACTCCTGGCACTGAGGTGTGGCTCTCTGATGATTTTTTGCCAAAGCAGCATCAAAGATGTTCCAGTTTTAGGCCAAGGTCTCTACGAAGCAGGTGTGCCTTCTGTGCTCTACCCTGCCCCGCCCCCACACACACCCCTACGCACCACCCCCCCAGCAGGACCCAGGTTGTCACAGAGCCTAATGGGCAGAGGAGCCCCAGGTGAGTGGGTCTGGTCCGGAGCCATCCACACACGGGAATAGGCGCAGGGACTGATAGTGCTGGGGTCTTTATACATTTATAACGTATATATGTATATGTTATAACATGTATAACATATATACATTTTTATACATTTATACATTTTATACATGTATACTTTATACATTTAAGATCTATTTGTTATAGCAGCTCATATTACTCTAACTTATGATGAGGACCAATGCCTTCAGCATCCTAAGGGAAGGCTATTTCCATCCTAGAATCTCATACCAAACTTTCTATCAGGAGTGATAAGAGGAGGGCACCCAGGTTGCTCAGTCGGTTAAGTGTCTGCCTGCCGCTCTGGTCAGGATCCTGGGTTTGGGAGCTGAGTCCCGCATCAGGCTCCTTTCTCAGCAGGGAGCCTCCTGGTCCCTCTGCCCCTGACCCTGCTTGTGCACTCGCTCTCGCTCTTTCTCTCTCTCTGACAAATACATAAATAAAATCTGTAAAAAAAAAAAAAAAAGAGTGATGGGAGAATGAAGGATTTTTAACACGGAGACCAAAAAAAAAAAAAATCCAAAACAAAAGACGCCCCCCCCGCAAAAAAGCTCCCTGCCCCTGTTCTTAGAAAGCCACCCCCCGCATGTACTTCATCACGTGAGGGTGTAAGCCAGGACTTAACCTGGAGAAGCACTTTCTGCAGGGGAAACCAGCAAAGGGAGCCCCCTAGCCAGCAGTTAGGTGGGCCGCACAGCTGGGAGCAGAAGACAGAGGGGGGCAGAAGGGAGGTGGGCAGGGCTGATAGATTATGCGAAGTTTTTGAGTGTTTGAGAATTTATTCATCAGCATTTGATGACTAATGGAATATTTGGGAAAAAATAGCTACAAATATACAGAAAACTCAAGAACATGAAAACAAGGCAATATTAACTCTTACAAGAAATTGTAAGAGAAAGGAGATATAGTTACAACTTGACTCAACAGTAAAAGGTTTTGCATAGTCACCTTAACTATCAATAATCTACATTTCTTATTTAATTGGTTATTGACTGAATAAAAACTGATTCTTTCCATGTTGAGAAGAAATGGCAAATGAGCATTTTATTCTGAGAAATGGAGGTCAAAACCAAGAGAAACTGCTGGAAGGGCTGTGCATGGCTGCCTCAGAATCAGGCTTTGCTGCTTTTTATCAAGCTGTTTTGATACTATTCTTTTTTTTTTTTCAAAATGTATCTATATCACTCTTATAAAAAGTAAAAGGATTGCAGAATTATCAGACAGAGCGGGAGCTAGAATTGCGCAGGCTCCCGAGAAAGCAGGTGGCCTACGGTACAGCCCAGTTCCAGGTGCAGAGCCCCTGACCCCGCTGCCCGGAGAAGCGCCTGGGCCCTCAGGTTCCAGACAGACCCCCCGCAGCCCGCACGTCCCCCTCCTCTGACTCCCTCCCTGCTTCCCCATCTTTGCCGCTGGGAAGGCACTTACAACCCATCCACTTTACTGTCACCTTCTTAAATTTACGGAAACTGTTACCATCTATCATTACCACTTGGCTTCCTTTTTCACTCAAAATTATCGTTTCTAAAAAATATAAACTTTAAACATAAAAATGAGAAAAATAGCCAGTGGATTCCCACGTAGCCTCATGCCCCTCAGCCCCGCCGGCTGCCCTCCCTCATCTGAGAGGATAGCAAAGCAAACCAAGCAAATCCTTTTCACCCTCAAATATTTTAATGTATGTCTCCGCAATACAGGGAACCTTTAAAAGACACAGACCAGCAGTACCGTAAGCACAGCAAGGTGACAACAGTTCTCTCGGTATCCAGGCACTGCCCCTTTCTTCTACTGTCCCTCCCCTCCTCTCTCTTTCTCATTTGCTGGTGTGACTTGGGACCCAAGTAAGAAGGTCCGTAAGTTGCACTTACTTGATATGTCTCTTGCATCTCTCTCTTTGCTTAAAGCTTTATTGATTTATTCTAGAGTGAGAGAGAGCGAGCCAGGGGGAGAGGCAGAGGGCAGAGAACCGCAAGCAGACGCCCCGCTGAGCCTTGAACCTGCTGACAGGGGCTCGATCTCCCGACCCTGAGAACACCACCTGAGCCAAAATCAGGAGTCAGATGTTTAACCGACTGAGCCACCCCGGTGTCCCTGCATCTCTTTGAGTGATAGTTCTCCCTCCATTCCCCTCCAACCCCGCAACGTGTTACAAGGAAGCCAGAGAATGTGCCCTGTGCACATTCTCAGTTGGATTTTGCTGACGGAATGCCCGGCACCACCTGTAAACTGACAGGAATTCAGGTTTGGTTTTTTCCCTGGCAAGACTATCCCTTAGGTGGTGCTGTGATATTTTATCACAAGGTACACATGTCTGCTTGTCTCTGTTTTTGTAAAAAAGAGACATTCTAAGTCCATCATTCATTCTGTTTATTTGCGGGAATACTTCGATGAAGCCAAGCTTCAGTTGGCAGGATACATACTGGGCTCCTCTTAGGACTTGGTTCTTAACCCCTTGCAATGGCGGCCAATATGGTGTTTCTGTTTAATATCATTGGAAAATCAAAGACTCAGACCTATTTGATGGGTTTCAGCCCACTGCCATGGATAGTCAATGTGCCCCACCTGTGGCCCGTGAGAAGGTGCTAATAACCTTGACAGCTTCCTTGCCCTCTGGAGTGACAAAGTGATGTGGGGTTAATACGTATATATCCTATCTCAACTTGGAATCTGCCATTTCTACAGGAAAGCCTGGTTCTTCCAGTGGGGAATGGCATTTAGAGACCAAGTCTGGGTTCCCTGGAGTTTCGTTTGTACCAAGTTTGTTCTTTCAAGGTCTTTGCCATAGACAGAGCTCCCCTGGTCCTTCTAGCTTTGGTTCGGAACCCCATTCCCCTTAGCTAGGCTAAGGGGTCTTACTTCTGCATTTCCCTTCTCCTGAGCTAAAATCTCCAGTTC